GCCAAAACCCAGAGATATAAAAAGCCTGAAAAAGATGCAGATGTGAAAGACAATGTAATCTCTTATTCATCTGTAAGGCTACTTATCAAATGTTGATTGGCAACAACAAGAAGTGCCAAAATGGAAAAATAACGATTCCTTCAGCTGCATGATATATACTGCATCTGGGAAAAGGTGCAAACTAGTTAATCTAGTTTGCCTTTAAAAAAAAAAAAAAAAAAAAAAAAAGAGGGAGCAATTTAACAGATTCATAGATCTATTAAAATTAACAGGTTAATTTAATAATCTAAGTTAAAGAATGCCCATTGTCTTTATCATTTGCTTAGCTCTCTTCAGATCCTTTAACAAGGCAGGAATTGTCCTAACTGGATCCCTTTGCCATTGGCAAATTTTAAAGAACAAAATATGAGAAAAACATTAATTTTTTCTAACCGCTGAAGATTAATTACTACCCAGCAGAAATAACCTATACCATAAATGCCAAACCACTATGTTTCTCATCACAGAACAAAAGATCTGCAAATGCCAGCAAGACTACATTGCTTATGTCTACTTTATTCTTATTCTTTTTTTATTCAAGGTCATCCCAGCAGGAAATGAAAAACAGCCATCAGCATAGTAAAAACATTCAAACAGAGCAGAGCATGAAAATTGCACAAAAGAGGTTATATAATCAAGTCAGTGCAGTAACTGGATGATGTCAATGGCACTTTAATGCTGCTTTAACTGCTGCCCTGTAAAAAAATGTGTCACTTTGTTGAACAAACAAAGAGAAGGCCACCACTTTAAAAAAAATAAAACCAAACCCCACTTTCAGCTATAAGCACTACTTATAGTAATCCTCACTGCTAGCAGCATAACGTTTTCTAGAGTACCAGAGGAACCAAGATTTTTATTTTGGCCTGGTTTTAAGATTTAGCGCTAGTGATTCTTTTACAAAGAAAATTACATCGTTCTCCTTTTTCTTGGCAATTCATTTTCTGGATGAATTCTTCCCCAGTCTAATTACTAGATACAATATGCGATTTTCTCTAATTTACATTGGGAGATTTTTATTATCTGTACATCAGCACTCGGTACATAAAATAAAGACACTGCATTTTTAGATGGGAAACTGAAACATCATTCTTACATGGTGAGTGGGCATCATAGTCAATATCATTTAGTACACCATAATTTTTGTAAAAAAAGTAAATGGTAGGATCACAAAAACATTGAAATCTGTAGAACAGCATGCAGAACATCTTGACCATAAAACCATGCTTATGAAAATATAAAGAATTAAACCTGGATGATCTATCAATTATCTAATTAAAATAATACCTGATTTAGACAAATATGTAAGATTTGTCAAAAGGGACTTGGAGTTTGTAAGTCTTAAATGTATTTATCAGGTACAGCTTTGGTGAATGGAGAGCTTATGATACAGCCTTCTCCAAGAGCTAAGGATTTGTTTTAACTAACAATTATTTTGCCATTAGAGTTGAAAGGAAAACATTCAAATGTGAACTGAAAGAAAAGCAATACAGTATTGTCTTACTAAGTCTGTAGATCCCTCTGCTGCCCTTGTTGCCAATTTTTCCAACCAGCTATGCAGTGCCATTAATAGGACTCAAGCGGGATTTGCTGGTTCAAAGTTTTAGGCATGTAGGCTTAATTAAGAATTATACATGGAAATTTTACTCTGGCATGATCACGGCTCTTTGTCTCATCCACCTCCAGAGTCTTCCAAAATCCATCCATTACAGAATACTGTATTTTGAAATTAGAAATTTTATAATTGTTTTTAATTCTCATGCTATCTTAAAGAATAAAAACCAACAGAAAAACAAAACAAAACAAAACAAAACACACAACTAAAACCCCTCCTTTTAATAGCACGGGTAGTATTCAAAGAGATGTAATGCTATTTCTGCAGTGTGAGGTAGTAACGAGAAGGCAAAATCTGTCTTTATTCTGCCCAGGAGGATCTATTTCTAAAACCAAACACTGGAAAGGTTGTTGACAGTACAACCATATGATTCATTACTGATTTTTTTTGACAGAAATATCCTTGGGAAAGAGCTGCTTTCTTGTCCTGCATTTGTGCCATGCCCAACAAAATAGGGCATGATAGCTGTGCATGAGTGCTGTTTTCTGTTAACATGAGTGCTGATATTTCTGTTAACAGAAATACCTGACAGTT